CTCCGTGAGTGAAAACACGGGTGGCAACCAGGCTCCAAGCTCTCATCCCCCCGGCCCCGGGCTGAGACAACCCAACAGCTCGCGTCTGGGTCGCCCATCACCCAAGAGAGCGAGCCCCCCGCACGGATTTACTTCCTCCCCCAGGTGGAGGCAAAGCCCCTCCAAAAAGCCTTTTTGAAGCCCAGCAGCTCCCCCCAGCCCTCACCCCTTCCAGCACACACTGCAAAAACCCAACACACCGCACTGTAGAGATATAGATATATTTGTGGTGATGTTGCATATTTAAGACAACTTTACATAATACTTCCGACAGTTTTGGTGTCCTCCCCTGCAGCGGGGCCAGGCCCTTGCATGGCCCCCCCCCTCACCCCACATCCCTCCCCAGCCCTGGAGCACCCCACGAGCGAGCTGGCGCAGGAGGGGTGGGCTGGGGTGGGGGGCAGCAGGTATCTGCCCTCGTGCACCAAGGTCTCCATCTGCCCTTGGCGCGAGGAGGAGCCTGTTTCACAACACGCCTCTTGCAGCACCAGCATCCTTAAACCACGGGGACTGGGAGCTCGAGCCCTGTCAGGCAGGGAAGCCCTGGGCTTTGGAGGGAGATGAAGGATGGCACAGATCTTTGGAGATAGCAAAACCCAACTGGCCAAGCCACCGGCTCCTGCTGACCCTGCCTTGAGCAGAGGGGTTGGCCCAGATGGTCTCCAGCTCGTCCCCACCAGCTCCCCGGCCCCAGCCCTGCGCAGGGGCAATATCTCTTCCCAGGCTGTGTCCAAGTTCCCGCTGCAGTCCCACATGGCACATGTGAAGCATCTTCCCGGGGTGAAAAGCCAACCCAGACTTCTCCATGCAGCACTGGTCTTCAAGAGAGGACAGTCTCCAAGCCTGAGAGGACGGCAGGGAAGGGGATGCTCTGCTGCATCCCTTTGCTGGAGGGCGGGGGAAGCAGAAACAGCGGAGAGCGGATAGAGCCAGCAGGACCTTGTCTCGCCTCTTTGCTTTTTGGCCAGGGAAGCACAGCCGATCCGGAGAGCTTCTGCCAGCCAGGGAGAAAAGAAAAGGCCGGGCTCAAGGGCCGTGGCACAAGGCAGCCTGCCAGGCATGGCGAACTTCCGTCTCATCTGCACCAGGACATTTTTTTGGCAGGGGACTGGGGTGTCCCAGTGCCCAGCCCCAGGGCATTTGCTGAAGCGGAGACAGAGGCAGCGGAGTAGCTTGTTGGCCTTGAACCGTGAACCAAACACTCCCCGGCTCACGGAGCCATCGCACAACACACACCGGCAACTCCAAACATTTGGCACTGTCGGGCAGCTGCCTCGGAAGGCAGGCAGCACCCCGCAACCCCGGGGCAACCCTGCCCGAGGGGCAGCGGGCTGCAGTTTCCCAGCAGCCCCTAGCAGGAAATGGGGAAACAGCAAAATAATAATAATAGTAACAATACTAATAATAATAATAAAAAAAAAATATGTAAACGACCCAGCACCCTGTCCTGTAGCACCAGGACACCCAAGAGAACAAGGTATGTTACAGTCTGAGGGGAGATGGAGACACAAGGACTTCCCGGCTAATGCGGGGTCTCGTCTCTATTGCACTTTGCATCATATATAATTCTCTCTCTATATATTTATAAAAATACAAACTAAAGGGCTGGGGTGGAGGGGATGAGATGCAAGCCCTGGGCCAGCAGCAGCTCTGTGCACACAGCAGGCTTTCATCCATTCTGCTTCTGCCTGTCCCCAGAGCCTCCTGGCAGTCCTCCCGGGAGGGGACAGCCAGCAGCACAGGGCCTGATCCTGCAGAGATCCAGCCTGGGGCTGGGCAGGGAGGGCAGGGTGCTGAGTTAGTCCAGTGTCTGCCCATCCACCTGCCTTCCCTGCCTCCCCCATCACCCCTTCCCGAGGTTCCCAGGACTGCAGTAACAAAGACGCAGCTCTTCCCAGCCACCAGCGCCATCCGTGCCCCTGCAGTGATGGGCGCCCCGGCACGCTCTCCCCGGCCAGCAAGTGCCCATCCCTGGGGGATGTGGGCAAAACCAACTTCACACCTTCCCCTCTGCCCAAAATACCCCACAGGAGAAGGTTCTTCCTGGCCTGGAGGTTCCCATTCACTCTTCCTCGAGTGACTACGGTGCAAATCGCACAGGGTGATGTAGTCCGGAGACCCCCCAACACCAGTGACAGAGGATGCTCCTCGGTCCCAAGGCCACCCCCCCGGCTGCTCCTGCTACCTCAGCCGCCCGTCAGGTTTGACGGGCCCCAGTTCTGATTTGGGGTCCGGGGAGAGGGAGCTCCAGGAGGTTTTGCTGCAGGTCTCCAGGGAGCCGCAGGCAGAGGGGCTGCCAACGCAGACGTCCGCCACGGACCAGAAGGCGCCGATGGCACCGTCTGCCCAGTCCTCCAGCGCCTTGCCCGTCATCTGCGCCTTCCGCACCGCGTCCTCCTCTGCCTCCTCGGAGCGTGGCAGGTTGAGGATCCCCCCCAGGCCCTGGAAGCTCTGCTCCATGTACTCGTTGCGGGGTGGGCCGCCATGCAGCCAGTTGCTGTCATCTGGGCAGGAGAGAAGAGAGGTGATCAGCAGTGCAGCAACATCCCAGCACTCTGCCCTTCCTACCGCCCCGGCAGGGCTCAGCACCCCGTCCCTTTGCAACCCCAGCTCTCCTCCAGCCTGAGGAAAGGGGTGCTGCTGTGGGATGGATCTAACTGACCCGCAAACGGGCCTCTGCACCTGCTCAGGGGCCTGGTTTGAGGACTCACATGGGCAAGGGGACACCAGCAAGAAGGATGGCTTGCACCTTGTCATCAGCACCAGGGAAAAGCCCGCAGTGACCCTCCCACCCCACTTCCAGCCCTGACCTCCAGAGCATCCTCACCTTTCCTGAGAGGCTGCTTGCGGTTGAAGGTCTGGGGCACCACCAGGAACTGGTTCTCTCCCAGGGGCTCCCAGAACTGGAGGAGGCGGATAGTCCAGACACCGGGGCGCAGGGGCCGATTGAGGGGGGGCTTGTACTGGGTGAACTCTGCCTCGGCATCCACCGTGATGTCGTAGGAAGCAGCGATGACGTGGGTGGGGTCAATCCACACCACTGTGGCTGTCAGGTTGGGGCCCCGTGACCATTTCTGCATGGCCACTGGCTCGTCAAAAGGCCCCATCAAACCTCCAAAATTGCGGAAGAGCCTTTCCTTGGGGTCCCACTCCGTGCCCACCTGCAGGGACAGGAGGTGTGAGCAATGGGATGCTGGGCAGGGAGATGTTAACAGCTCAGGTTTTGCATTTCGCCTCCCCGAATCAGGGAAGGCACAAGCTTTGGAGCCCAAAGCAATGCACACCCCACCCTCCACTGCTCTCCTGCCAGCCTGCACCACAACCAGCGTCAATCCAGCTGTGCATGATGCCTCTTGCAGCCACAGGCGCTGGGCACCACAGCTTCAGCTCCCCCCTGAAAGATCCCCTTCAGGCCTCTTCCCCAGCAATCAGCTCCACACCCCCCACAGAAGCCAAACTCCTGGACAAAGGTTTGTTCTCAGACATCACAGTGGCACTGTGTCCCTCTGTCCCCACAAAGTTCCGGTGGGGGAGAGGAAGAAGGGCAGAACGGTGTGGGAAAGCCGGTGAGGAAAGCGGGCATTGTGAGGGAACCTTTCCCCATTTACCTCAAGGTTCTGTAAGCGGTTTGCCTGCCCTCCATGACCCAACAGCTTCAGAGCTCCTTGGGGCATCATCCACACCTCCAGGGACTCTGCCTGCCCAGTTGCCAAATTCTGCACTTCCTGCATCACCAGGTAACCCTGGAAACGGTCGTCATAGAAATATAAGTGCACACTGGACGGGAAGCCCTGGGGCTCAAATCTGAAGAGAGAGAGAGACAGACGGAGAGGTTGCATATCTGAGCATCAGCATCCTCTCAGCACGAGATGCAGGCCACCACTCAGAGCCCAGCTTGAGCTCCCGGTGAATATCCCACCTGCAGAGCTTGTCGGCCTTCGCTGCCGGCACAGATGCAGCTTTGCGGAGTCCCAGCCTGGAGAAGGCCGTGTAGAAGGTGAGGGTGACGTCGCTGAGGCCGCTGAGTCCATCAACGCGGTCATAGACATTTTCCCAGTATGCCTTCAGTGCTGGCGTGTTGGGGGGGTAGCTGCCGTAGAGGTGCGTGTCCAGGATCTCCAGCACCTCCTGGTTCACCGTCGACTCAAACTTGCGGGCGAAGAAGGTGGGTCTGGAGAGTTGCTGGAAAAGCACAGGCATTTCTAACAGCGTTGGCTGCAGCCCCTCTGCCCTCCCACCTGAACAGGGCAGCTGGGAGGGAGACAGACTGGGAAGAAACATGCTGGGACCCATCCTGCCCTCTTGACAGCACAGGCTAAGGAGCAGCAAAGCACAGCCAGCCTCTACGTGGGATCCTCTATGGCAGGATCAGTGGGAGCATACAGTACACTTACTGGTAATGCAGATGGGTTCCCATCTCTCCCACTGCCTCCTCCTTTCTGTGCTCAGAAGCAGCCATGTGTCATCTAGCTCCTTAGCTGCAATCTCTATTCAGATGGGTCCCCACCTCACAGAGCCGCTGCGGAGCCCTGCACGAGGTCTGGCCACGTGGAACAGCTTGCAGGATCAGGGCCCTGTGCTCTGTAAGCCCAGGACTGCTCGAAAATCCTCCTAACTTCTCTTTTCAGGGCTGGATGTGTCTCCCCTAAACCTTCCCTGTTCAGTCTACATCCCTACACACTGAGAGCACAGGAGACTGTTTGTCACAAGGCATTTTGTCCTGCCAAAGAGGACAACACTTTGAAGTGGTTCTACTGAAAACGTATTTGCCCCAAGTGATAGGTCTTCAGAGAAAGAGCAGGAAAACAGGAGGAGAGAAAGTCTGGGAAGAACAGCATTGCAAGCAAAAGCCTGACTGCTGGGCAGGACACTCAGCGTAATCCCGCTGCCAGAGGCATGTTTACAGCAAATCCCATGGCAGCTGGGAGCCAATCCTGCCCCTGTCCCTTGCAGGGCTGGGGTGAGGCTCGTGGGGGCATGCACAGCAGCTGGCATTGCACCCAGGGGTGCGCACCCAGGGAGGAAGGGAGGGAGCAGGAGGAGAAAGGAGGATCTTTTTCACCTGTAGCCGGAGGAAGTCCTGGGGTTTGAAGTCATTTGGGGAGCACCCGCACCAGTCGACTATGTGTTTATATTGGCACTTACAGCCCAGCTTCCGGTTCCAGTTGGTCACTCGGAGGTTGTTATCGACCAGTGTCTCACAGGCGTGACTGTTCTCCAGGACCGTGTGGAAGAAGGACTATGCACGACAGAGAAGGGACAGGAAACCCAGTGAGGACAGAGAATGGATGGTTAAAGGAGAGCCCCCACCCCTCACTCGCAGAGGAACAGCATAGGCCTCAATAGCTCCTGAACAGAAACCTATCCCTGTTCCCAGCACAGGGCAACGCATAAGAAACCAGGCTGTGCAGATCCATCAGTTCTTGTCCAGCCCTGGCATCTGGACCTAAGGCAGCGCTGGATATAAACATGACGTTTGGCCTGTCTGCTCCTCTCTCCCCTCTTTCATACCTGGGTCTGGACAAAGGGAAGGCACAAAGCTGCCCGAGCAGAACCATAAATAACCTTCACAGCTACCCAGGGCAGGGATGAAGTGGGACAGAGATGTTAACTACAGTGGGAAGAAAATCCAGCCTGCGCCCCGCAACCAGTACCCACCTCAGCTGGCAGGAGTGTGTAGGTGTAGAACTGGCGCAACTGGGACACCAGCTGGTCGTCGGCATAGACCACGTACTCCACGAAGCTGCGCGTCAGTGAGAACCAGTCGGAGCCCCCGTCCACCACGATGCCCTCGGGGATGTGGCGCTCGCCAAGCCGCCACATGTGGGAGTCACACTCGTGGAACAGGCGGTCCAGGCCCTGCTTCTTGATAAACCTGGGCATGGGGAAAATGTCAGGCATTAGGGGTGTCATTCACTTCGCTGAATGCAGCTGCAGCCAGACCACCCCCCCTGCCCCAGCTGTTTCAATTCTTTTAGGAAATCCCTCATCTTTCTGTTCCACCAGTTCAGCTCTGCCACTAGCTGGTATTACCTGGCATTGTCTCGGCCATGAGACTTGAGGAAGTTCTTATCTCGGTATTTGGACAGGAACATCACCAGCTCCTCATTGGTCCTGAGGTGCAAATTAAAAAGCATTAACAGCCCCTGGGGTAAAGCAGTCCAGTAAACATTCATGCTGCAAGAGTTATCAGACACAAGGAGCCTAAATCTGCTTGGTGGGTGCTGACTCAAACCCTGATCCCATCACTGGGGAGACAGAGACGCGGCATCTCTGTTGTCTGGCGTCTCACATGCAGACCACAGGAAAAAACAGCCTCCAAGGTACTGGCTGGTCTCCTCTGCAGAGACGGGACCAGCTTTGCCCTGGAGCATCATCACCATCATGTGGGTGCAATCTCCAACCCCATCTTCCCTCAGCTCCCTGCTCCTCCCTGCCCCTCCCAAGGCTGCTGCAGCATTACACAGCCTGAACACCTCCATCATCTTCCTCTGCCCCAGCAAGGTCCTCACCTTGTGGGGTAGTCGGTGGCGCTCAGGTTGATGAAGAAGTCCCAGGGCCACTCGGTCAGCTCCAGCAGGTCTTTCATGCTACGCAGGTACATCTTCAGCAGACTAGCACCTCCCCAGATGGTCACCATGCGCCAGGGCGTCACACGGATGTTGGGGTAGTTCCGGGCCAGCTCCACCGCCTCGTGATGGAGGTAGTTGGAGCGCTGCCAGGGAACACAGCTCACGGTCAGCGGGGAGCTCATCTTCCTGGGGCCTCCTTGCTGTCAGCCTCGGGTCAGCCCTTACAGCAGCCTCCGCATCGAGGAAGGCAGCAAGACAAGACTGCTCTGGGCAGGAGGGATAGATCCTGCTTCCTTGGGGTTCCAGGAATAGGGGTGGAAGGATCACAGCTTCATCAGTAGTGAGGACAAATGCTACCCAGCCACTTCCTCCACTCACCACCCACCCACGTCCCAGCGACCGATCCAGGCACTGTTAGCATCCCCCTTCCCCTCACCCTTGCCGCTTACCTTGTCCACATGGATGTAGAAGAAGTGCTGCTGGTGGTACACCGCCTTGATGAGCCGCTTCAGCTGGCGAATGGCCCTGCCGTGCACAACCAGCATGTAGGCAATGCGCACGGGCTTGCTGGGGGGTGCCTGCTGCAGCCGGCTCTCATCCCACTGGATGACAGGGCTGACCTTGCCTGTGCGGGGAGGGAGAGGGCTGTCAGCCACCCCTGGCCTTGGCACCCACCACCCCAGTAAAACAGAGAGACCTGAGCAAGGTGGGGGACAGCAGAGAAGAGCTTGGCTTCAGGCAAACCCCATCATGCTGCAGTGCCAGGGCACGGTGCCACATGCAGCCCCTTGGCATTAAATTGACGCCTTGGGAAAGGCGTGTGTGTCCTTCTCCAGCCCCTCAAAACAGAAGATGCAGCTGGGCCTGGCTCTGACCTCTGCAGGCACCGCAGGCTGGGATGAACAGCCCAGTGTAAGGAGGCTAGGACAGCTTTGATTGGATTACAGAGAGAGCGTTAATCTGGGAATCAGTGACAGATTGAGGCCGCTTTTTGCCAGGTGGGACAGTTTGGTGACATAAGGAAGGTGGCCCACACGCCTGGCTGGGATATTCCCAATGCCCGTGGGCAACTGGGAACACCCCAGCAGGACTCACCCGAGAGCTGGCAGTGGCGAGGCACAGACTGGGGCATGAGGCTGCCGGCCCGGTGCAGACACACCACGTTGGCGATCTCCTGTTGGCACTGCTTGCTGCTGGCCCGAGCTAGCGCTGAGAGGGCGTCTTTGCCTGTGATTTCGCACTTGGGAGTGAAGCTGTTCTCGGTAGGCTGTGGAGCCCCCTCCACGCTGCCTGTGTCACCCTGCTGGAAGATGGCCAGCTGGGCCTCCCCGTGCAGCTCTGTCAGGTTCCTCTGGCTGGAGGAGTCCGGTGCGGCTGGCAGCCTCCGTCCTGGTTTGTGTCTCGCCGTGACGGCTCTCACCACCTTGGATACCAACACGCCGGGGCTGTCCGGCCGTCCCCGCCATCGCCCGTGCTTCCGGCTGGCGCTGCCCCGGCGCCCGGCAGAGCTGTCGGAGTCCTTGGAGCCGTCACTGCTCTCAGGCAATCTGGCTTTTTTCTGCCGCTCCTATACCAGTTCCAGGTGGATGCAGAAGAGAGGACAGACAGCATTAACTTGGGCCTGCTTTCCCCCGGCTCTGCCAACACGGTCCCCAGAGCATCCTTGTTCCCGGAGCTTGATATTCCCAGTTCCCATGTTGCTCAGTGCTACAAAACAGCAGGCGCTCTGGAAGCGGCCACTGTGCAGCAAAGAACATTACACCACCCCTCTGCAACGTAAGGCCCCACAGCACCTCTCTGCATGGTCCTATGCCCCCCTCATGGGGACAGACCCCTATATGCCAGCAAGGGACACCCCCAATTTGCAGACCCCATCATCACAGCACCCAGATGCACAAACAGGGTCTTGCTCTCCGCCGCTGAGCTCACTGCAAGACTAACTGGCCAAGGTTCAGTGTGTCTACATCAGTCACCAGCCACCCTCCAGCGTCCAGCATGGGCATGGGTACCCCTGGATGGTGGGAACGAGCACAGGGCTGCTCTGGCTGGAGGTTATTTTACCCAGAGGCAAATGGACCAGCTTCTCCCTGCCATAATCACGCTGTGAGCCCAAGCCTAGCACACCCATCTGGCAGCCAGGGTCCCAGCTGGCCATGGCTGTGCTCTCTGGGGCTAAAAGCACCAGAGAGGCATTGAATGACGTCCTGCCCATGCTCCATTCCCTGGGCCTCGGCTCCCTGTGCTGGGCTGGAGCAGCCACTGTGATCGCCAGCTTCTGCAGAAATCCCTTTAACGAACCCTCCTGCCGAGCCAAGCGGATGTGTAAAGGGAGCAGTTAATTATGCTTCGTTACCTCTGCCAGGCTGGCTGATGAGCAGAAACGAGTCAGCCTTGGGGAGAGCAGAGAGTTGGGAAGTTTGGATGCCTGTGAGAGCCACGCTCATGGGAAAGCACTTTCCCAGTGAGTGGTGCCTGCGGGGCTGGGCCCCCAGCCCACTGCAGGTGCTCTCACCAGGCCTCTCAGGGCTACTGCACAACACCTTCAAAACCCTGCCTGCCCAGCCACTGCACTGCCTCCGTGGGAGGCAGTGAGCCCATTGGGGGCTACTCCTGGGCAGCAGCATCTTCTGAGTACGGGCAGATGCCTCACAAGTACAGCAGGACTGAATCAGCCCCCTGCATGAGCACCCCCTGTGGGCGTAGCTGCTGGGAAGATCAAGGCCAGGAGAAACCATGCCCTACAAAGGCTGAAAAGTATCTAGCAAGATCTGCCAGCTCTGGTGTCCCTGAACTACCCATGTTGTGGTGGCACAGCCTGCAAACCACGGCTACCCAGGAAGGGGCCAAGCCACCACTTAACTTCCGAGGGGCTGGCATCAGTGAGGATCAGCCGAGCCCCCTTCTGCCCAGACAGGCGTCACAGGCGGCAATCCGTTCATTAGTCACCGCACAGGACCATCTGTTTGAGAGTTATAAACCTGTTTTCTCCGCTAAGCATCACAGGAGTCGGGAGGGAACAAGCGAGGAGTGAGTCTCTTCCTGCAGGGATGGGGCTGAGCGTGCAGAAGAGACCCACCAGCACCATGCACACCCTCCGCTCCCCAACACGCCTGGTTGCGGGGACAGCCCCCACCGATGCCCACCCTTGGTTACAGTCCTGCTCATCCCCCTAGAAGTGCTGTTCCCAGCTCACAAGCACAGCCGGCTGCCTTCCCCAGTAGGGAAGTCATTACAAGCATCGCCAGCCTTTCCTGAGCTGCCAGTTAACAAACTCAATGGCTTCTAATTACTGCACCGCAGCAGAGCGATCCCTCCACCCCAGCCTGGCAGGGAATGACTCTGGCCACGTTGCTTTGCTGTATTTAAGCCTCGTGCGCAGGACTTCTGGCAAGGCTCCCCATCCCTGTCCTCCCAACATGCACAGATTACTCTGGACACCAGCCAGAGGTCACTTCTCCTGTCCTGGGTCCCCCTGATGTGACACCACCACCCCCACGGTACCACAGTGAGGGACCCCATCCTCAGCACAGGTCAGGTTGTGCCAATGTCTCCAAGCCACCTGCCATTGCGAGGAGCAGAACTAACATCATCTGGTGTCCTGCAAGATTCCCCCTCTGGTTGATTGACTCTGGTGTCTGCCACATACCAGCACTTATGAGGCAAAACCAGTGCCAAAATGTTCCAAAGTCACTAGAGGAATCAAGACGTTTGATTGCCAATTGCAGCAGCAGACTCTGAAACCTCACAATTAAAATGGCTGGGGACAGCCCCCTAAAAACAAGCTCTTGGCGGGGGGGGGCGGGAATAAAAATCAAGGAATCTCAGCAAAGCTGGAAGAAAAGATGTTTCGTAGGAAGCTTCTCTAGAGGCTGCAGCACATGAGGACACCAACATACAGACCTCAGAAAGGTGCTGCCTCCTGCCTGGGAGAAGAAAGATAGGAGACGAAGTGGGAGAAGACGTGACTGGGCTAAAACACTTCTCCCAACTGACAGATCCTCTTCTTCGCCCACGAGGACACTTCGTGGTTTGCATTTTACCAGTGCGAGCTCCACTGCGGACCAAGCACTCCAGGACGCTCATATGCTTACTCAGGATGGAGGCAGGATCACTCTGGTCCCTCGGACTCCCACCTTTGTGTGCAGACAGGCTCACACTGTCTGCAGTGGGGATGCTGTCAGCGAAGGGCTAAGTACTGATGGGAATTTCCTCTCCCATCTGTCAGTCTGGACAGGGATTGTGGTGTTTGATCCCAGTGGAACAAGATAATTTGGCCTCCTGGAGGTAGGAAACTCAGTGTTGACCTGGGTGGATGGAGACTGATTAAACCTCTGCTGGTCTGCATGCCATAAAGCATCTGTTTGGTGAACAAAGGGAGCCTGTAGGACCCTGACATTGGGCTTGCAGAGAGAAGCGACACGATCCAAGCAGCATGGCCTTCTCAAGGAGGGTTGCGCTGGTGGCTCTGATGTGGCTGAAGCCTGTTACAGGGCAGCGAGCGGTCAGTGCTGCTGGTGAGAGATGGATTTACAACCTGCTCTGGTGAAGGGCAAAGATCCTCCCTCAGCGTCAACTCAACTCATACCAGGGAACCACTGGGGATGGAGCATGCCAAGCAGGGGAAGCTATTCCCTCCCCTATGAAGGGAAGGAAAAGGAAACCAGCAGGCTTTGAAGAACCGAGCAGGACAGAGAAAGAGGCTGCCACCAGCAGAGTTCAGAGCAGCCCTTTTGGGAACACCTAGGCAGTGCCAGCAGCTGCCAGCCCAGGGCACAGGGCTGCAGTGCAGCCTCCAAGCGCTGCAGGTGCCCCAGCCGCAGGTCTGGAGGGGAAGGTGAGCTCGCCCGATTCCAGACACCCCACGGCATTTACAGGACTTGAGTCTCTTTTTTGCTCTATACAGCGATTCACAGCCCATTCATGGTGGGGACGAGCCAGGTTAGAGCTGTGTCCATTAGTGGGAAGGAGCCATTTTCTCTGGCAATTAAGAGATCTTAAGGTTCCCCAAATCCTTCCATGCCTGCAAGGTCATGCTCTCGTGGGAGGGTTCCTCCAGCTTTACCAGAAACACTCCTGGGGAACAGTGGCTCCTCCAGGTCTGGCCAAAATCAGAAGCTGCAGGAGGGTACAGAAACCAAAAGCTTTGCCATTTTATAAGAAATAAAGGTTAATTGGATTTTTCCCAGCTTGCTAATGGGCTTGGGCTGCCTGTAAAGTTCAGGATGGTTCTTGCCTTCTCTGAAGACATTTGTCTATTCCCAAGTCAGGGCTGCTGGTGGCAAACCATCCCCTCTCCAGGCGAACAGGACTCATGGTCAAACCTGTCAGCTGCCCAGTTTTGGGAAGAGACCTGGGGAATCCAGGCGAGAACTGAGGCCGTGCAGGGCAGGAGAAGAGAAAAGCACACAAACAGCATGGGATGGTGAAGAGAGGGAAGGAGAAGCCAGGACAGGTGAAGTGATTTGATCAAGGTCATGAGAAAGGGGAATGGGCAGTCGGGCACTCCTAGCTGCCAGACGGGTCTGCTTTCACACTCCCAGTGCCTTCAGATCAAATGCAACTCCGTGTCCCCTCTCCTTGCCGCATTTATTCCCTGGTTCGGGTTTGGTGGTGGGCGTACAGCAGCACCTGAGGGTGCTCACAGCCATTCCCAGTGTCCCAAGAGGAAGTGTGGGGCTGGGAATTAGTCTGCTGAGTGAAGGTCTCTGCCTTAGAGACCTTCCCCCCTGCAAGGGGCTGCCCAGTTCCCCTTCTCACCTCTTCGGTCTCAGAGAAAACTTTCTAGTCCTGTGAAAAGACCTGGCAACTACAGGGTCACCCTCCACACCAGGGAGGAAGCTCTCACCCTTCAGAGATCCCCACTTCTCACCTCGTGGCCATTGGCGTTGCTCTGGCACAGCTACCGTGCTCATCCCATGCCTGCCCCCGCACAGCTCTCGCTGCACACTGGTCTCCCCTCCTGCCAAACATGGCTTCACCATTGCTCTGGGGCTTGTCAGCAGCCCGCAGAAAGCCTCTACAGCCCCTGGAGCACGAGGGTCCTGCCCAAGATGAGGGGCTCAGGTCCCACAAAGACATTCACCAAGGAACTCCATACAGGGACTCTCAGCCCTTTCGCAATGCTCTTGGAGAAACCAGCTTCAGCCATGGGTTCACCCAGATGCAGTGACCCTGGACATGGTCCAGGCAGCTCACAACAAACAAATAAATTCAAATAATCAACCCAAAGGTCAAGAGCTTTGTTTGAAGGTGGCAGCAGCATTCTCCAGAGGCCTGGGTCCTCCTTGACATGTGCTCCATGTCTGACCTTGAGCAAACACACTCGTGCCTCAGTTTCCCCATGCGCAAAAAAAAGAGGTGATGCCTTTCACCTTAGCAGACCGCTCTGGTATAAAGACAACAGATGACTGCAAAAGGTCCTTGTACCCTTGCACTTCACAGGGACATCCCTGACCGGACCAGCCAAACAGAAGCCGACACAAACTTCCTGAGCTGCTGTGCATGCTCTCCCCAGCTCCCCGAATTACTGCGTGTTTGCGTATTTCCCTGCCTCAAGCATCACCAGCC